GTTCCGGAGTGCATGTAGCCATCTATCTCTTCTTCCTTTGTTAAACTTGTACAAACACCAAAAATTAAATTCTTGTTTTTAAAGTAAAAAAATAATGTAAAAATGATGAAGATAATCAGAAAATTAAAAGGTATAGAAAATAAAAATAATAATAATAATAATAATAATAATAATAATAATAATAATAATAATAATAATAATAATAATAATAATAATAATAATAATAATAATAATAATAATAATAATAATAATAATAATAATAATAATAATAATAATAATAATAATAATAATAATAATAATAATAATAATAATAATAATAATAATAATAATAATAATAATAATAATAATAATAATAATAATAATAATAATAATAATAATAATAATAATAATAATAATAATAATAATAATAATAATAATAATAATAATAATAATAATAATAATAATAATAATAAAAGTATGGGAAGGTCATAGAATGCAACGTAAAAGATCAAAGATAGATAATTGTAAATTTAATTCGAAGAACGAATTTCAATTAAAAACAGAATAAAGAAAACATGTAAAAATTAAATTAACAATCGAAAAGAAAAGAAAATTAATTTTGAAAACAATAAGAAATGTAAAATAAATGAATAGATCGAAAATTAAAAAATACGATCCTGGAAACTTTTAAATTTAGTTCAAATTGTGGGAATGTTGTAAAAAATACTCCGTGCAATTTTAGTTATGTAAATTTTGAAATAGTGAACATAATTTTTATCAAAATATAAACTGTCAAAAAATAGAGAAATTCGAAAGTTTAACTAAAAGCGTTAAAGTCGGGTTAAATAGCCTAAAAATATAACAAAAAATAATAATGAAAAAGAGGTTTTGAAATTACTAAAATATTGATCAAAAAATAAATTACTAAAAATATGAAAAGTAGCTAGAAATGTAAATTTTTTGATAAAATTAGAAAATCAAAATAAATTTTATAAATAAAAATAAAAATAGATAATATAACTTATCAAAATTTTTGTAAAAGAAGAGTAATCAGTGTATATTAAAAGAGTGTAAATAGTAAAAACGTTTGAAAAATAAAAATGTCAAAAATATAAAACTGGAACATGTAAACAATTTAAAAATAGGAAATAATTAAAAACATGCATTTTCGAATTTAATTTTTTTAAAGTAGCGAAAACATTAATTTTTATTAATAGCATCTTATTGTAACTTTTTGTTGCACATTGTTTCCGTGTGTTTCTTTTTGTTGATAAGTGTTATTTTTTTGTTTTTTATTGTTTCTCTCTTGTTATCATTGATAGTCATAAACTCAAATTTATCATTTTAGGTGTTTGTGCGTATAGTAGACGGTTTTATTTCAGAGAAGTGATAAAGATAAATAGAAAACTAAATGAACAACAACAGCAACAATAAGCAACATGATACAACAATATGCAACACATTGCAACACCAAAAAACAAGTATGCTTCAACAAAAAGAAACAAAAAGTAGCATATAAAAATATCACAGTAAGTATATAATTCAATCTGTTAGCTCAATTTATCACTCAGTATTATATTATTTGGCTTTGATACTTCACAATCTTATTTCTTTTATGCATTTGAACACTCTTCATCACTTTTATCTCTTTGCCTTCGTTTCCTCATTGATATTCGTAGACTAATTATCTTCGTGTACTTCTATTATGCACCTGCGATCAATATGAAACTAATTTAGAATCAATATTATAAGCAAACAATGCACCTATAGAGTTGATGCATCAACATATATCCGCAACGTAACTCTGAGAGAAGAAAATAAGCAAAACCCAAAGTCATGAACAAATAACTATTAATAGGGGGATTTAGAAGTACTGATCCAGAGCAACTAAAACCTAAGTGAATGATGACTGAAACATGTGATCAATAATCAAAAGGTGTGTTGACTATGCCAAGAGAGCATTTAAATGTAAAATCAGTAATTAATTGTTCGAGGCGTAAATCAACAAAAAATAACTAATTACGGGAAAGATGACCGCTAATCATCATCATATGGGAACGTCATACCATGTTAAGCTCTAAGTGCAACAGTAAACGCCTATGAATGCCTCACTTGAACTACAAAATTGCATCTTCCGATCCATCTCAGTCACAATTGCAAATGTTGCCACATAGTAAAACACAACCTGGAAAATTACAGCCAGCAGCAAGCATAGACTTCAAAATCCTAATCCCTTACTTCAACATAACTTGATAAATCAACATAAGCAAACCTTTCAAACACAAAGGATTATGTCAGGAAGCATCATTCAATATATGTTTATCCAATTACGATTAACAAAATTTTCAAATAAACTATGTTTACTTTGTAATCTATATAAACTCAGCTACATAGTAACTATATAATACGGAGTAACTATTACTCAACATAAACAGAAGGCATTTGAAAAGATTTTTTGGGAACAAAATCTATTTTTGGTATGATTACCTTCATATTAGTGAATTGAGAGTAGCTATATGGTTCTTCATTCGCAAAAGCCCCCAAATTTATTTTCCTTTGACATTTCTGCATAAATGAAAAGTTCTTCCTCTTAAAACTTCAAACCATTTCCATATTCTAAACGGATCCCTAAGCGAGTTCCTTGCATGATTGAGCATTTTGATCTTAACCTTAAATTTCTCTAGTAATGCTCATACTACAAATCAGATTTCAGGACATGAAATTGGTTTTCAGACCTGTTATTACTCTTATACTATAAATTAGTTTTTCAGAATATCACTGCAACCTTCCATAAAAAAAAGGTTTTAAATCAAGCAATTGAGTTACAAAACTTCCTAAGACCACAAACTGATTTAAAGCATCTTAATGATTGTCTTCCTTACATGGAAATTCAGAAAATATGCTTCTGCGGGAGTAGATTTCCCTACCAGGCAAATACTTTTTTTTTTGGATTTTTAAGGTGAAGTAATTAACAAGCATAACCTAATGAATTGATAAGGAAGGACGGGAGGAGATTTCACCTTATCTCATGCATCATCTCATGGCAGAGGACTAGAGGCTCCAGAATCAGAAGGATCTTACTCCCTTACCTCAAGTCTCTGTTCTCTGGGAAAATAATTAGGTCTGATTAGATAGCTTGATAGCTTCAATATTTCCTCGATTAAGATCACGATGAGTCGATGAACAACTTGTTATCTACGATTTTAGTACTTGAAACTCCATAAACCGAGATCCGCTTGTTCAAAGCATTACGAATGTCTTCCGTAACATTTTGTGCCTCATACAAGAACCACTAATCTGAATTTTTTAATTAACCTTTCTAGATACTATCTCTGAGAGAGATTTCAATATTGTCATCTAATAGATCGACAAAATAGAGGCTCGAATTGGTAGAAGAGAGCTAACCTGTCATAATTGTCATAAGCCTGAGTTTCGAATTGGTAGCAGAGATGTAGGGAGAGACAAAACTCGGAGATACTTGCGAAAGTGAAAGCAGTTAGCAGATTAGCGGAGGAGGATTTCAAGAGAAGAAGCGGGGAAAAGAAGAGAGGAGCAAGTGAGCAACGACGGAAAAGATCAACGACGAGATTGAATTCTGGCTTTTCGCTTAACGTAAGATTATATTTGAAATAAAAAAAACTAACAGCGAAAAGACGAGAGTCTCTAAATGAAAAGTAAACGATCATAGGACATAAATGAAATCCAATAATAAAAAGTAGATGAAACGGGATATTTCCACTAACTAATTTCACTTTTGGTCCTATTAGTTTTATCTCAATTTCACATTTAGTTTATGTCTTTTTTTGTCCACTTTTGATACTTGACTACTGTTTTTTGACCATTTATGACACTTTTCCAGTGATTTTAACCGTCAGAAACATTGACAGAAAGACCATATATCAGCAAAAACACAATAGTTGGGTATCAAAAGTGGTCAAAATAATAGATGTGTACCAATTGTGGAGTAGGTGCCATACTTGTAAGACAAAATGTGGAATTTGTTCTATAAAATAACATGTGTTGTAGCAAAAAATGTCAAAGACAAAATACAATACTATAGAAATAAGAGTTTTCATTAAAGTCAACTACCGGCACTCAATAAATTTACAACTGTTCTCTACGGGATTTTGTCGATCGATACCGTTTGATAATGACATCATTGTAAATTTTCAAGAATATGTCTTTTTCTACTCATCCAATTACTCAGATGAATAGAAGTTGGGAAGAATCAAACTCTTCACTGTTAAATTAAATGATTTTGTGTTTTGAATGTTGCTTTGTTATCATTTATATTTGAAGTTTCTTCAATTTTACTTGAGCCTAGCACACAGTTCTCATGGAGCTATCTTTCTTAGCTCCTACTTCAACATGATCATAATATCTCTTCAACATGCATGTTCTGAGGCGTAGAGAGCACATTCGAGAGAGCCAGAGAGCGAGTCAGCCAGAGTCTTTCGGAGACCTAGCGTGTGACACCGCACCCGAACGTCCTTGAAAATTCGATTTAAAAATTCAAAAGTGATGTATTGAATTTCCGATTTCAAAGCAATGGAAGAAACGATTAATATTTTACGAAGTACATGATTGAATATTGTATTGTTCAAACCCGCATTCTTTTGTAATTTTCATCATGTAAATTATTGGGATGAGCCTACACATATTGGAGATCAATAATGTGATTTAGGAAGTTGACTTGTTCTAAATAAATTAGGATGAGTACAAAAAGGCATCTTTGACAAAGATAAAACAATAGGACCCATCTTCCCATTTTTGGAGGTATTGGTAGATATTTTGGACCCCAAATTTAATGGGATCAATTGGGAACCACTCCACATGATTATAGTACCTGCAAAACAAGAAAAATAAGTGAGGAGACTTACCTTGGCCGCACAAGCTGGAGGAGGGCTGCACAAGACTTGATTGGAATCAACCTTGAGACCCACCTTGTCTATTTCCGCACAAAACATGGGTGTGTTTTGTCTCCCTTCATTTTGAGAGTTGTACTCGTCCAAATGAGGTGTATAATGTGTCCTTGGATAGCCTTTGAAGTGTAGTTTCATAATTGAGTGGCCTTTGTTCGAGTAGAGAGAGCAATCATCCAAAAATCGATCTGGAACGAGCAGTGGTCTGTGAACTCGAGCTGTGGGAGTGCTGAGACTGTTTGGTCGATATCTCGAGTTTTACAAATCCAATTAAGGCGTGTGAGATACCCACAGAAAGCTCTCAAGACGAGGAATCCGTGAAGGTCTGGTTTGCAGGAATCGGAGTTGTGGAAGGCTTCCAAATCGTCCGAGCAAAACACAACCTCGCAGGAGAGGATTTAATCTTCTAAAGTGAGTTTTAACCCCAAAGCTTTACTTTTCATTCTCCAAATGATATGAACGATTGGTGAGACTATTATACACTAATCCAAGTGTATAATATGTCCTTATAAAGTTATTTTATTGATGTGAAGGTTAGATACTAACCTAGATGCAAATATTGGAAAACTAGGAATCGAGTTAGCCGGAAAACACCCGTTCTAGGGGCTGTTTTCGTATCAACGATTAAGGGTTGAACTAGCACTTTGAGGAGGCTGTTTAACACTCATATTTGAGCAAGGAATCAGTTCCAAATCAACCTTGACCGAAGCTTTGACCATTGGACCAAGAAGGGAAAGTTTAAAGCTCAATTGAGGTGAGGATTGACATCTAATTGCTTACAACTTGTAGGTTAAGCATGAGATTACCTAAATGCTTAAATCATGATTTTTCATGGATTATGATGATTATATATTGATGAAATATTGATATAGTTGCCAAAGAATGAAATTTGAAATGATTTGAGAATGTATGAATAATATGAGATTAAATGAGTATAAATGAACTATTTTGTGAAATAGGCATTTTGCTCATGTATGAATTATGTGGATACATAAATGAATATTTGTGTATTGAGATTGAATACTTAAGTTGCTGTTACATAATGATAAATATGTAGAGAATTACAAATAATGAGGATAATGGTATGATAACAATAATCCTAATAGTATTGAAATACTAGTTAGTGATTATTGGAACTTGTTGATTAAATTGATCCTAGGGATTGGGTTGTATGAAAGGTACTTGAATATAGTTCAAGTGTATATAATAACTTAGTATGGAACTAAGGTTAAGTTATGGGAAGTCTTTAAGGATGACCCATGGTAGTTTAATGATATGTCAATTCTAGGCATAGGGTTGCTTTAGAATTGGACCTTAATGCATGGTGATGTGGTAGAGCCGAGCTCTAGAATGCATGTAAGGTGTAGACTTGGAGTCTATGTATTGTATAGCTAGAGCCGAGCTCTAGGACTTGCGTGGTGATGTGGTAGAGCCGAGCTCTAGAACGCAAGGTAAGGAAATTGACTCGAGGTATATGAATTGTATGGTGATGTGGTAGAGCCGAGCTCTAGAATACAATGTCATGTACTAGAGTTGGACTCTAGGAGTTGCCGTGGCTTATAGTCACGGGGCTGGGAATGGTGATTTCCAAATGAATATGGGCCCACGGGCCGACTACTTGACTTTTATATAAAGTAAGTATATTTTTAAACGGGGTAACTTAGGGTTACAATCATAATGTACTATCACCCTATTTGAGGGTCTTGTGTTTGAAATACTTGTTGTATATCTATTAGATGCCTGCCACACCAGTACTTTATAGCCGTATAGAGTACTGACCCCTTCGGGGGCGTCCCACCACCATTTCAGGTTGAGGCTAGAGCTTGCATCCTGTGCTCGTTGATCGGGTGATTCCTCAGAGAGAAGACTTGGTTCGTGCTTCCTCCGTTCTATTTGAAACATTAATAAACTTGCTCATGGATATTTCACTATAGAGCCTGCGTGCTCATGAATAGCCCTGTGTGGCTCTTTTGTTTTAAACAATATTTCCGCTGCGTTATGAATTACTTATTATGTTTGTTTATGGATGTTATGTGTGTGAATGATATTCAAGACGCCTTGTATAATATGAATGTGTTGGACTGCGGTTGACTATTCGTATTGTACGGCGGATTGTTGACGTGTCCGGGGAGGTCCGGGGCGTGACAATTAAGTTGGTATCAGAGCCTTAGTCCATAAACTTCATAATGAAGTCTCAAAATTCTCTTTTCAAAATGATTTTGAAAACCATGAGCATAAACGTTTTGTACTTGAAGAGCTTTTGGTACTTGAGTTGCAAGGTCTCTAATTGTTAAGATGGTACCCTTAGCAATTGGTATGGCAGCAATTTGAGCCAAATAGTGTCTTAAGTACCGATCTGTCAATTGACATTTGATACGAGTCTAACGACTCTTTCCAAAATTTCTTTCAGAAATGGACCGTGGTGGCAAGGTGACTAGGAGAAACCCATTGGGCCGTGCACCAGAGGAGACTGGGCAAGGCAGTCGTAGGACCTCTAGGGCATCTAGAGGAGCGGGCCGTGGAGGCCGATCACAGACCGTGAGTGACGGTCATGTGAGCACTGAGAGTGACAGTTACTGGTCCTACGAGGACTCAACCTATCAACCGGAAACTGAGCCGGTTGAGACCCCTTATGAAGGGGATGATGATGATGTAAGTGATGAGGAGGAAAATGGCTCCTTAGCACGGATTGAAGCGTTACTCCAACAGTACCACCGTGAGCGTGAGGAAAGGAGGGAACACCGAAGGCGTCGGGCTGGGCAACCTTTGGGCGGGGCTTCAAGAGGGAGAAGCCATGGCGACTCTAGGGCCCACATTGAACCACATGCGGGCAGGGGTGATGGAGGTCCAATCATAAGGATCTCCAAATACATCAAAGAGGCACGAGACTTGGGGTGCAAACCGTTTGATGGAACGGGTGACATCTCCATCTCGGCGCAATGGATTAAGAGGCTGAATGAGGCGGCCCTGGACATGCAACTCACCCCCGAATATAAACTAAGGGTTGCGGTGAGATTACTTGAGGGTATGGCATCCAAATGGTGGGATGGGACCAAAAGCAAATATGGCGAGACCGTCACTTGGAAGGACTTCCAACAGGAGTTCTTCGCCCAATACTACTCGGATTTCGAGGTGAACAAAAAGGTAAGGGAGTACACTCTTCTAACCCAAGGGGGTAACATGACGGTGAGGGAACTTGAGTACAAGTTCAGGGACCTCGCCGACTACATACCGGAGTATGCTTGTGACGAGAACCGAATGGTAAACCACTTTTGGGATGCTCTTGACTTGGAGATACGTGATAGGGCAACACAATTGCCTAATATGACTTTCGCTCAAGTGGTTGACCAAGGGTTGAAAGGAGAGAAACAATGGGAAGAAAGGAAGAAGAAAGACGCCGAAGAGGCGAAAAAGAGAAAGTGGGAGGGTCATGGCTCTCAAGGTTCCAACAAGAAGGGGAATCATGGGGGAGGATCTTTCCGGGCACCACCACCACCATCTAGGGGGAACCAAGGCCCGAGTGGGCAAGGCTCAAGGTCACAAGCCTCAGTGGTAACTCGTTGCAACAATTGCAAGAAACACCACTCCGGTAAATGCCGTGACCCCCCTAGATGTTTCCAATGCGGGGATGCCGGGCATCTGAAGGCACATTGTCCACAATTGGGTGTGGCAAGGGCATCGGGACCGAGTAGTGGCGCGACAGGCACATGGAATCAAACTGGGGCTTCTCAAGCCAGCCGGGGACATGGCGGAGCGAGCACGAGCAACGCGCCGTCCGTGAACCAAGGAAGGACCCAGGCTAGGGTCTACGCAATGACGGAGGCGGATGCTCAGGCTAACCCGGATTCCGTTGCAGGTATTGCCTCTCGTATAATAGTGTTTTATCCTTAATTAGTCCATAAATTAAGGTTACTAATCGTTGGGATCATTGCACAAGATTTTGGGGTCGAACCGGGGGATTCCGGGCTACTACAGGCGGCTGGAACCCAGGCACGATCGTGCCTAAGGCAGACACGATCGTGCCTCCAAGCCAGTAGCTGCGTAGAAGATTCCCCAACCCAGGCACGATCGTGCCTACGGCAGACACGATCGTGCCTACAAGGCAGTAGCTGCCCAGGTATTTCTCCAAACCAGGCACGATCGTGCCTAAGGCAGACACGATCGTGCCTCCAAGTCAGTGGTTCCGCAGGGTTTTTCCCAACCCAGGCACGATCGTGCCTAAGGCAGACACGATCGTGCCTCCAAGGCAGTAGCCCCAGGGCGTTTTCCTGAGCCAGGCACGATCGTGCCTACCCCAGGCACGCCGTGCCTGGCACCCAGATTGCCGAAACCCGATTTTTTCGCATCGTTTTGCGACGTTAAGGCCTCTTCTTGATCCCTAACGTGCGTGTGAACATTGCAACCTTCTATAAATGAGTAGGGAGGGTAGGAAAGATGTCTTACATGGTTCATGAATGTAGGGACACTAAAGATTAACGGGAAGGATGCACGAATCCTTATCGATACCGGAGCGCAACGTTCATTCGTGAGTGAGGCGTTTGCCGAGAGCTTAGAGATGCAATCAATACAAATGACACAAACCTTAGTGGTATCAACCCCACTAGGGGAAGACGTTGAAAGAAACAATTACTATCCATCTTGTATGGTGGAAATCGGTGGCCAAACCTTGACGTGTGATTTCGTACCGCTGAGTATGATGGAGTTCGATGCAATCCTAGGGATGGATTGGCTAGAAAAGCATCATGCTAGGGTAGATTGCTACACAAAGGTGTTGGAACTCGAAGGCACACATGGGGACACCCTACGCTTCGAGGGGGACCGCGGCAAATCAAATAGTTGTATCATATCCGCCGTGAGAGCGAGAAATATGATGAGGAAGGGATGCCACGCATATCTAGCATACGTGGTTGACAAAACCAAAGAGGAAACGAACATCGATGATGTGAGGGTGGTTTGTAAGTATCCGGATGTCTTCCCTAAAGACCTACCGGGGCTTCCACCTGACAGAGAGATTGAATTTGTGATCGAGGTCGAGCCTGGTACCAAACCAATCTCCATACCGCCATACCGGATGGCACCCGCTGAACTTAACGAGTTGAAAACCCAATTGCAAGAGCTTTTGGATAACGGTTTCATTAGACCAAGCCACTCCCCGTGGGGAGCACCGGTTCTTTTTGTGAAAAAGAAAGATGGGACACTTCGAATGTGCATTGACTATCGTCAACTGAACAAGGTCACAATCAAGAATAGGTATCCGTTGCCTAGGATTGATGACTTGTTTGATCAACTACGAGGAGCAACCGTGTTTTCGAAGATTGACTTAAGGTCGGGGTACCATCAATTGAAGATTAAGGAAGATGACATACCAAAGAGTGCTTTCCGCACAAGGTATGGGCATTTTGAGTTCCTTGTTATGTCGTTTGGGTTAACAAACGCCCCGGCGGCATTCATGGACTTGATGAACCGAGTATTTCATAAATACTTGGATCGATTCGTGATCGTGTTCATAGATGACATCTTGATTTACTCAAAGAGTGAAGAAGAGCATGAGGAGCACTTGATACTTGTTCTTGAAACACTACGGGAGAAGCAACTCTATGCCAAATTTTCTAAATGTGAATTTTGGCTAAAGGAGATTGGCTTCCTCGGGCACGTGGTTTCGGGATCGGGGATTGCTGTTGATAACAAGAAGATAGAAGCCATTACTGAATGGGAGAGGCCAAAGAACGTCAAGGAAATTCGTAGTTTCCTTGGATTGGCAGGCTACTATAGAAAGTTCGTGGAGAAGTTCTCTGTTTTGGCATCGCCATTGACGAAGCTCACTCGTAAAGGAGCTAAGTTTGTATGGGATGACAAATGTGAGAAAGGGTTCATGGAACTAAAGAAGAGATTGACTGAGGCACCGGTACTTGCATTACCCAAACAAGGTGTGGGGTACGATGTCTATAGCGATGCGAGCATCCAAGGGCTCGGATGTGTACTGATGCAGAATGGGAGGGTAATCGCCTATGCTTCACGACAATTGAAGAAGCATGAGGTGAATTATCCTACTCATGATTTGGAGCTCGGGGCAGTGGTATTTGCACTGAAGATATGGAGACATTATCTCTACGGGGAGACATGTCACATATACACTGATCACAAGAGCTTGAAGTACGTGTTTACTCAGAAAGAGCTAAACATGAGACAGAGACGGTGGATGGAGCTGATAAAAGACTACCATCTAGTGATAGAGTATCACCCAGGCAAGGCAAACGTGGTGGCAGATGCTTTGAGCCGGAAGAGCTCGTCTGGGGCATTGATAACTAATTTGAGGGCATTAAGAGCCCAACTGGAGGTAACCAGCGATGGTGCCTTATTGGCACGATTTGAGGTGAGACCCACTTTACTTGATGAGATCAAGAAGGGTCAGGAAGCCGACGAAGAACTTATGAAGGTCCGGGAACGCATGCAAGCGGGGCCGGTGGAGGATTTCAGGGAAAGAGATGATGGTCTCTTGTTATTTCGTGACCGAGTGTGTGTACCGTCAGATGATGAGCTCTGAAAGTCCATCTTAGAGGAGGCTCATTCATCGGCCTATGCCATGCACCCGGGGGGCACGAAAATGTACCGTGATTTGAAGGAAAGTTACTGGTGGTCTGGAATGAAGAGGGAAATAGCCGAGTACATCAGTCGGTGCCTTACCTGTCAACAAGTTAAGGCAGAGCATCAGCATCCAGCAGGCTTATTGCAACCACTTTCCATTCCTGAATGGAAGTGGGAACACGTGACTATGGATTTTGTGGTAGGGTTGCCACGGACAATCAGGAACTATGATGCAGTTTGGGTTGTCGTAGATAGGCTCACAAAGAGTGCACACTTCTTGCCTATCAACACTACTTACCCACTTGAGAGGTTAGCCAAATTGTATACGGATGAGATCGTGAGGCTGCATGGGGTCCCAGTGACCATTGTATCTGACAGAGACCCACGATTCACATCACGTTTTTGGCCGAAATTCCAGGAGTCTATGGGAACGAAGTTGAAGTTCAGCACTGCTTTCCATCCACAGACGGATGGGCAGTCTGAAAGGGTTATACAGATCCTAGAAGACATGCTGAGGGCTTGTGCATTGGAGTTCCAGGGGAGTTGGGACAACCACTTAGCACTTGTGGAGTTTGCCTATAACAACAGTTATCAGGCAAGCATCGGCATGCCTCCATACGAGGCATTGTATGGGAGGAGGTGCCGTACACCGTTATGCTGGGACGAGGTTGGCATGGCCAAACTCGAGGGTACTGAGTTGGTGGAGGTCACCAAATCAAAGGTGAAGTTGATTCGAGAGAGACTCAAGGCGGCTCAGGATAGACAAAAGAGTTATGCAGATAAGCGTCGAAGAACCTTAGAGTTTAAGGTTGATGACGAGGTATTCTTGAAAGTTTCTCCTTGGAAAGGGATCATTCGGTTCCAAACCCGAGGAAAACTTAACCCACGATATATAGGTCCATTCAGAATTATAGAGAGGATTGGGGCCGTTGCATATCGTCTACAATTGACTCCTGAGTTAGAGAAGATACATAATGTGTTTCATGTATCCATGCTTAAGAAGTACGTGCATGATCCCTCTCACGTATTGGAGAAGCCACCTGTAGAGGTACGTGAGGATTTGAACTACGCTGTTCAACCTATCAAAGTCACCGATAGAAAGGTGAAGAAGCTGAGGAGCAAAGAAGTCCCAATGGTTAAAGTCCTGTGGAAGAGCGATCGGGTCGAGGAAGAGACATGGGAAACGGAGGCTTTGATGAGGAAGCAGTATGCTTTCCTATTCGAGTAGAGCTGTGAATTTCGGGGACGAAATTCCTGTTAAGGGGGGGTGAACTTGTGACACCGCACCCGAACGTCCTTGAAAATTCGATTTAAAAATTCAAAAGTGATGTATTGAATTTCCGATTTCAAAGCAATGGAAGAAACGATTAATATTTTACGAAGTACATGATTGAATATTGTATTGTTCAAACCCGCATTCTTTTGTAATTTTCATCATGTAAATTATTGGGATGAGCCTACACATATTGGAGATCAATAATGTGATTTAGGAAGTTGACTTGTTCTAAATAAATTAGGATGAGTACAAAAAGGCATCTTTGACAAAGATAAAACAATAGGACCCATCTTCTCATTTTTGGAGGTATTGGTAGATATTTTGGACCCCAAATTTAATGGGATCAATTGGGAACCACTCCACATGATTATAGTACCTGCAAAACAAGAAAAATAAGTGAGGAGACTTACCTTGGCCGCACAAGCTGGAGGAGGGCTGCACAAGACTTGATTGGAATCAACCTTGAGACCCACCTTGTCTATTTCCGCACAAAACATGGGTGTGTTTTGTCTCCCTTCATTTTGAGAGTTGTACTCGTCCAAATGAGGTGTATAATGTGTCCTTGGATAGCCTTTGAAGTGTAGTTTCATAATTGAGTGGCCTTTGTTCGAGTAGAGAGAGCAATCATCCAAAAATCGATCTGGAACGAGCAGTGGTCTGTGAACTCGAGCTGTGGGAGTGCTGAGACTGTTTGGTCGATATCTCGAGTTTTACAAATCCAATTAAGGCGTGTGAGATACCCACAGAAAGCTCTCAAGACGAGGAATCCGTGAAGGTCTGGTTTGCAGGAATCGGAGTTGTGGAAGGCTTCCAAATCGTCCGAGCAAAACACAACCTCGCAGGAGAGGATTTAATCTTCTAAAGTGAGTTTTAACCCCAAAGCTTTACTTTTCATTCTCCAAATGATATGAACGATTGGTGAGACTATTATACACTAATCCAAGTGTATAATATGTCCTTATAAAGTTATTTTATTGATGTGAAGGTTAGATACTAACCTAGATGCAAATATTGGAAAACTAGGAATCGAGTTAGCCGGAAAACACCCGTTCTAGGGGCTGTTTTCGTATCAACGATTAAGGGTTGAACTAGCACTTTGAGGAGGCTGTTTAACACTCATATTTGAGCAAGGAATCAGTTCCAAATCAACCTTGACCGAAGCTTTGACCATTGGACCAAGAAGGGAAAGTTTAAAGCTCAATTGAGGTGAGGATTGACATCTAATTGCTTACAACTTGTAGGTTAAGCATGAGATTACCTAAATGCTTAAATCATGATTTTTCATGGATTATGATGATTATATATTGATGAAATATTGATATAGTTGCCAAAGAATGAAATTTGAAATGATTTGAGAATGTATGAATAATATGAGATTAAATGAGTATAAATGAACTATTTTGTGAAATAGGCATTTTGCTCATGTATGAATTATGTGGATACATAAATGAATATTTGTGTATTGAGATTGAATACTTAAGTTGCTGTTACATAATGATAAATATGTAGAGAATTACAAATAATGAGGATAATGGTATGATAACAATAATCCTAATAGTATTGAAATACTAGTTAGTGATTATTGGAACTTGTTGATTAAATTGATCCTAGGGATTGGGTTGTATGAAAGGTACTTGAATATAGTTCAAGTGTATATAATAACTTAGTATGGAACTAAGGTTAAGTTATGGGAAGTCTTTAAGGATGACCCATGGTAGTTTAATGATATGTCAATTCTAGGCATAGGGTTGCTTTAGAATTGGACCTTAATGCATGGTGATGTGGTAGAGCCGAGCTCTAGAATGCATGTAAGGTGTAGACTTGGAGTCTATGTATTGTATAGCTAGAGCCGAGCTCTAGGACTTGCGTGGTGATGTGGTAGAGCCGAGCTCTAGAACGCAAGGTAAGGAAATTGACTCGAGGTATATGAATTGTATGGTGATGTGGTAGAGCCGAGCTCTAGAATACAATGTCATGTACTAGAGTTGGACTCTAGGAGTTGCCGTGGCTTATAGTCACGGGGCTGGGAATGGTGATTTCCAAATGAATATGGGCCCACGGGCCGACTACTTGACTTTTATATAAAGTAAGTATATTTTTAAACGGGGTAACTTAGGGTTACAATCATAATGTACTATCACCCTATTTGAGGGTCTTGTGTTTGAAATACTTGTTGTATATCTATTAGATGCCTGCCACACCAGTACTTTATAGCCGTATAGAGTACTGACCCCTTCGGGGGCGTCCCACCACCATTTCAGGTTGAGGCTAGAGCTTGCATCCTGTGCTCGTTGATCGGGTGATTCCTCAGAGAGAAGACTTGGTTCGTGCTTCCTCCGTTCTATTTGAAACATTAATAAACTTGCTCATGGATATTTCACTATAGAGCCTGCGTGCTCATGAATAGCCCTGTGTGGCTCTTTTGTTTTAAACAATATTTCCGCTGCGTTATGAATTACTTATTATGTTTGTTTATGGATGTTATGTGTGTGAATGATATTCAAGACGCCTTGTATAATATGAATGTGTTGGACTGCGGTTGACTATTCGTATTGTACGGCGGATTGTTGACGTGTCCGGGGAGGTCCGGGGCGTGACATAGCGGCTAGAGGCAGGGACTAAGGGCTTGATGCTTGAATGTCAATTTGCTGCAATTTGGGCATTTCACAATTCACACATGGGCCAGTTTTAATTTTTGCTATGTTGTAAAAACCGGACCGGTAAGTGACCCGAACAAATGATTGGATCACGGCTCAATCCGGACCCGGCGGGTCAACCCGGGCAATGACCGGTAAACCCGGTCAACACGAATAAAATTAATCATATAAAAATTAAATTCACAAATAGAAACTTATATCCCTTCTAAATTTAATATTGATAATACAATATAAGTAATGTAAAAAAACTATTGTATTAAAGTATAGAGAAATGGTTGTAAATAGGACTACAACTTACATTTATTTAACTTCTAAATAGGACTACATTTTCTGTCCGTTCCAAAATTGTCCCTGATATCCCTTGGCACGCTGCCCCTTTTAATAGATAATACTGTAGGGATATTCTTGTAATTGCTTATTCTTGGATTATTATATATACATGCATACGACTACCTCTTAGGTAAGTCATTCCCTCATAATTCTCATATGGTATCAGTTGCTAAGGCCTTACATTCCTAACCCTAACTCACGACTTCCGCCACCATGTCATCAGCCATATCCTCTACCTCGGTCGAACTCATTGCTTCCTCCGGCAGTGATCAAACAATCACCACCGAGTCCTCATCTCAACCCCAGGCGCCCAAATTCTCTCTGACGGAGCAGCCCATCGTGAGTCGCCCCATGTCGTCATTCATGCAGGAGCAGACCGTGATCCCTAGCTCGGTGATTTACAGCTCCAACAGCCCACATGTATCTTCTTATTCACTGTTCCAGATGCCAGACCCATTTACTTGGCAGCCTACGCTCCCTGCTTCATCGCCATCACCTATCGCCCCCGACAATTTTCTTCAGCCTTCGAGCTCGGGTATTCTTGGTCAGTTCGAGGCAGGTTCTTCATCTAGGCCTCTGCCTCATTCATTGGGCACTGATAATTTTCCTTCATATCTCTCTACTATGGCGTCTTAGCTAACATTCTCCACTCGGAATGTCACCAATATTGTCACTACTCGGTTGGCATCGGTTGAAGATTATTTACCATGGAAAACACAATTTGAGTCTTTTGTAGTCTCACATAGTTTGTTGGGCATGTTGGATGGTTCAATTCCTATTCCCTCTCTGTTTATTTTGGATGCTTCTCAAAAGGAGGTAGTTAACAATGATTATCAACACTGGTTGAAAATTGACCAAACGGTCCGTTCATGGCTTTTCGCCACTTTTTCCCGAGATATTTCTATTGATGTGCATGATTTTAAATTTTCTTTTCAAATTTGATATCGTCTTCGGAACAAATTTATGCCCGCAAGCACGGCCCGCTCCTTGGAAATTAAGCGTCAACTCTCATATCAAGAAGAAAGCCAATCAAACTATGGACCAATACCTAGATTACACCAAGTAATAAAAAGTCTTTTGTCTTGATTCGACCTTGCATCAAATATGAAAAGAGTGTTCAAGATTCAAAAAATTCAAAAAGAAATGTTCGTGATTCAAAACAGAGTGTTCCAGATTCAAAAGATTCAAAAGAGAGTATTCCGGATTCAAAACAGGATTTTTAAAGTTGCTGCGGATAATCTTGCACTAATCAATTCCCCTGTTAGTGATAAGGATCTCATTGAATACGCCCTTCTTGGTCTTGTTCTGGAGTTTGAATCTATACTTGGCGGGCTGTCCTATATGCCTCCTACGTTCACTTTTAGGATGTTTTTACTTGGACTGTAATTTGTCCCAGACCAGACCAGACCAGACCAGGCCAGTCCAGACCAGACCAGTTCAGACCAGACCAGACCAGACTTGGATAGTTATAAAAATACAAAGAAACCAGACCTTACCAGACCAGACCAGACCAGACCAGTTCAGACCAGATCAGACCAGACCAGTCCAGACCAGCAAATTACAGTCCAAGTAAAAACATCCTTAATCAACTGGGTCCTATTTTCGTTCAACAAGAACACATGCTGCAATATATGTGTAGCACAGGAGACTCCTTGACGCAGCATCAAGCATTTGCTGCACACGGCCAGAACCCCCCCAAACCAGTAGCAGCACTCTCGCGCACAACAGTTCTCCGGACAGCAGCAGTTTCCCGATCGTGGAGGTGCCCCACCGCGAGGAGGACGTGGGGGTCACGGTCAGCGCACACAAAGGGGTCACCGGGGGCGTGGCAGAGGGCATGGCTATTCTGGTCAGCAGCCTTTCTAGTTTGCAGCACCACGCGGGTTTGAGTTTCAGTATGCCGGGCCGCATGCACATTTCACTCCGGGAGTTCCAAGTGCAGGTATGGGTAATAACTCTCTAGTAAATTATCTTTTGTCTCCATATTATATTCGCTGTACTCATACTAACAGTGCAGGTTTTCCATCAGCTGATCATAATTATGCCTCTCCCCAAGTCCCCATTATTTGTCAATTGTGCTACACTCCGGGTCATTCCGCTATCACATGTTCCAAGTTCTTTTCTGGTTCTACTCCGGCCCTTGCTGCTTTACCAACCGGTGAGACCAATGAAGCTACATGGTATCCAGATTCTGGTGCCTCGGCTCATATGACACCAAACGAAGGTATTTTGCATTCTAAATCCACCCTTACTCACCCCACTAATGTGCAGGTAGCTAATGGTGCTAATTTATCTGTGTCTATAATTGGCACTGTTCATTTACCTTCATTAGGTCACCCGCTTATTTTAAAACCGGTGTATCATGTTCCTCACTTAAAATTTAATTTGCTTTCTATTCAGAAGTTGTGTGAGGATAATGATTGCACTGCTATTTTTAATAAATCTTTTTTCTCTGTAAAGGACAACCAAACGGGGGCAACTCTACTCCACGCTTCCAGTAAGGATCGGACCTATCCATTCTCGGCCTCCACTCCACCCTTAGCCCTTTTTACTTCATCTGCACCTGGTCCGGTATGGCACAAGCACTTAGGTCATTGTGGTGATAGCATATTGTCCACTCTTCGGCGCACAAATTTTATTTTTCCTTCTAGTAATTTGCATCATTTATGTACTTCTTGTAGACTGGGTAAATCTCATCGCTTACCTTTTAAAGATGTTTTACACACTACTACTGCTCTTTTACAATTAATTCATTCTGATGTTTGGCAGTCCCCTGTTTTATCGCATCTTGGTTATAAATATTATGTCTGCTTTATTGATGATTTTTCTAGATTTACTTGGGTATATCCCATGCATCGGAAGTCTGAGGTTTTCACTCATTTTTGCATTTTTCAGAAATTAACAGAAAATCTTTTAGGTTGCAAAATTAAATGTTTTTCAAAGTGATGGTGGGGTGAATTTAATAATCACCAGTTTATTACTCATTTTTTGAATTGTGGCATCTTATTTCAAAAGTCATGTTCTGACACTCCTGCTCAAAATGGCATGGCGGAACGGAAGCATCACCATCTTTTAGAATTAATACGTACTATGCTTATTGATGCCCATCTTCCGCCTTCCTTTTGGGTTGATGCACTTTACACTGCTACATACATAATTAATTGCCTTCCCATGCCAATTTTACAGGGTCTCAGTCCGTATCAGAAAATTTTTCACAAATCTCCTGATTATTCTTTTTTGCTTGTGTTTGGTTGTGCGTATTTTCCTAATAAAGTCGCCACCTCGGGTAATAAGCTATCACCGCGATCTACTCCTTGTATTTTTATTGGCTATGCCCCGGGCTACAAGGGTTACCGATGCCTTGATCCTACCACCAGTAGAGTCTATACTAGTCGAGATGTCATTTTTCATGAGACTAGTTTTCCCTATCCTACACTTTCCTCCAACCCGTCTCCCTCCCCACTCCACCATGCCTTCCCCTCACTTCCTATCCTACTAATGTACTGCAACCTTCCACTACATCTACCCCATTACCCGTGTCTCCCCTCCAACATACCACTACACTCAATCACCCCATTTGTTCAAAATTGCTATTTGCAGCCATTTAATTAAATATAAATAAATAAAATTATTTCATGGTCTAAGTTACCCTTATGTAAATATATCACAACCCATCGCTGCTTTAATTCATCCAAGTAGGTCTTTGTCTTAATCATTGATCGCACAATACACCCGCAGCCATCAACCATTCTCGCACCTCCCCTCATTCAAATTTGCCTTCTCGAAGAATTGGAGTAGAACTGTCAAGTTGTTTCTTCTGACCTGCTTCAAATTGTTGTTTCTAGCATTTGAATATGTGTTGCAATCAACACGGTTTATCAGTAGTCATCACCTCTCACTAATTGCAGTAATCATGGAAAGTGTAAGATTCCAATTCCCTTCATGTTTATAAGTAATGATAAAAACATGCAGTGATTCAGAGTGTCCAAATACACCTTTTTTCATGATTCTAGAATAAAAACCTGCAGTAATCATGTTGAAATATTGGTATTATAGGGGATCATGATTCTATTTCCATTTATTATGAGTGTTTAATTTGCAATTTTTGTTGATACTAGAAATAACTATTCTATCCACTAAATTTCATAGTTATAAATTGTAATTTTTGTTGGGTCATATTAAATGGTGTTCATCATCTCTATTGTAATGGTCAAGCCATTAACAAATATCTCAGCTTATTACTTCTCATGTCATGACTCATACCTTTGTCTATCCATTTTAGCTTAAAAAAGAGAACACAGATGACATGAGCAGTGCAGAACAACAAGATGTCAAATCACAGGTATATCTTATTAATAGTGAAAAATCAACTTATTTTACCATATTTCTTAATTGCTTCTTCCCATGACAGGATTTAAATTATGCAAATGACTTGGATTTGTGGAGTTCCGTTGCTGCTTTTTCTACGGATAAAGTAAGTAAATCATCATGCAATATATATGGTATATGGTTC